CTCAATAATAATAATAACAATGAATGGATGAACCAGAATCAATGTCCGAAGTTCCCCCTTACTGCTGACTCAACTCACAACAACAACAATAACAACAACAAGTCCACCATGGCTATGTCTTCCCTCCTTCAACCTCCTCTCTCATGCATAGGCCATGGCGGACTACTGGGTGGCAGCTATGGTGCTGCCCTGATGTCCAGAAGACAACCCAAAACAGCTATGCCGCTGCTTGACTTGGTCCGCWATGCCTGACTCTGCCTCGAGCTGCCCTGGTGCAGCGCTACCCCAACTGGGGCCTTCCAGATGCAGCGCCCAACAAGGTGATGAAGACGGTGTCCATCATAGCCAGGTAAGTGCCCTACCACTCTCCTACCATGCCCCCTTCTTCCTCCTCCTCAAGCTGGGGTGCTCGCCATAGCCAGGCTGAGCCCCAGCGGACCTTCACCTCCAAGCAGCGCTGCTTCAGTCCAGCGCTGCGCTCCARCAGCAYGTCSCCAATCCTTGCATACCGCAAATGAGGAAGAGCTCTCCGCTCTTCCTGAAGATATAGCGGCCTACCGGCCTCCTGGGCGGTGACTTCCTAGGCCAAGCGGCCTCCCAGCAACCGGTACCTCCTCCCTTTCGGAGGGAAACATCATGGCAGGCTCTGTTATTGTCCGCACAGGCCCTAGACCCGGGCTACTTGGACTGGTACCGGCCTACCTCTAACCTACCGCTACTGGGTCTCTAAAAAGGCCAACTCTTTGTCTTCTTCTGCTCGGCCTACCTGCTACTTCAGTGTTTTTCCCCAGCTGCTCTAAGTGCCGTGGGCCTACTCCCCGCTACCGGCGTGTTTACCCCCCTGCAACCCTTCAAAGTCACGGCCACAGGTAAGTACCGGCCCGGTGGGCCTTGCAACCAACAAGTACCCTTGCGGGTCACCCCACATACCCAACCAGCAAGCACTCAGACAGACATGCAAACCAGCAGGCACGCACACACACACAACCGGCAAGCACTCAGACAGGCATGCAAACCAGCAGGCACGCATACACACAGACTTGGGACCACAGCAGAATGCGGGAATCACAGCAAGGCATTCATTCCAGTGACAAATCCCAGAAATCAGCAGTGTTCTCAGTCTGTGTTTTTGGCGGGTCATTACAACAACGAAATTTCGAATTTTGAGAAGGAAAACGAAAATGGAATTTCAGATGTTACGCTATTGCGATTTTCCACAACAGAATAGCGAGAAAACAAAATCCAAGAAACGAAGAAAAAAAATCGATTTTCGGCAGTAAGGTCAAAATCGTGATTTTGGGGGCTAACTAGTGTGCTCTAATCAATCTATCAAGACTAATCAGCTACCTAGTCCCCGCATACGTGTCAGATCAGGTTGTCCTGATTCACGTGCGGTGCTCCGATACCAACTGTTACATGTCCGGTTGGGCGACGTACATAGAAACCGAGGATCCGCAATGTGATAAAAAGGACGGAATGGACAATGCAGTGCAAGTGAACAAGCAATGTGCATTCTGATACATACAAATGGTGCAAAATAGCGCAGTGGAAGACTTCGATACAAGTCCTGACCTGACCGGGACTGACCTCATTCACGTAGTAAAAGATAGCGAAGCAGAATGCTAGAATACTCATGACTAACCCAATCAATGTTTGAACGCAGACCAAACATACATCGTGTCCATCACAAAGTGTGAAGGAGCCTGGCGCTGTACATAGGAAGGAAGCGCCAGGCCCAGACATACACAGACGAAGAGGAGGGGATCAGACGAAGAGGAGAGGGAGAGATGGGAATGTCGTCAACACCAAGTCTTTGTCACAAGTCCCAAATAATCCCTCGTTGCAATGTCTGAAGTCCAAAAGTCGAGTCTGGATCCAATGTCACCAAGCTCTTTCTCTCTTCTCTCGTATTCTGCAGATGCAGTGAAGTCAGATGATGAGAGGGGGAGAGGGAGATGATGGACTGAGAAGAGGAAGAAGAAGAACTCTCTCTCTCTGTTACGAGCCAGGTACTAACCTGTGAAGTTGGCGCTGTGCTGCAGGTACCTTGAAGACGAAGCTGGAGCAACGGCGCTGCAGGTAAGTACCTCTGGCCTCCGCCCAGTCTCTCTCTCTCTCTAGTACTATTCTAACTATGGCGCCCAGCGCTGGAGACTACAGCTACCTACTGCGCCCAGCGCTGAAGACTAAGGCTAACGCTACTAYTACTCCTGCAGCGCTCCCTCCAGAGTGCTGMGGCCGAATCCTGAAGACTACTGCCTCCTGCCTGAACTGCACGTGAAGTGCCTGGCCAGTCCTTATGAACTACCTCCTGCCTGTAGGGCGGGCCAGTCTTATATAGTGCTGGCCCGTCCAGGAGGCTGCTCTTGCCAATGCCCAAACGTGCTAGACCCTGAGGAAGCTTCCTGGAAGTTCCCAGGTAGCTTCTGGCTAAAGGCTGAGGAGGCTTCCGGGAAGTTTCCAGGTAGCTTCTGGCTAAAGCCTGAGGGACTATAGGCCCTTGTTTTCAGGCTTTCAGGCTGAAACGACACGGGGCCTGTAGGCCCTGGTTTTCAGGCTGTCAGGCTGAAATAGACATGGGGCCTGTAGGCCCTGGTTTTCAGGCTGTCAGGCTGAAACAGCCACGCGGCCTGTAGGCCCTGGTTTCAGGCTGTCAGGCTGAAACAGACACGGGGCCTGTAGGCCCTGGTTTTCAGGCTTTCAGGCTGAAACTCACACGGGGCCTGTAAGCCTTCGTTTTCAGGCTTTCAGGCTGAAAATGACACAGGCCTGAAAAATGGCCCGTGCAGCCTGTTGCAGGCGCAGCATGTAACACTAGCCCTAGCTTGATTTCCTATTACCTCCCAGGGAACACAGGTTCTTTGATGTGTGCTGTTACTGCAGTCTCATCTAAACTCACACACTGAGACTTACCAAGCAACTCTAGTTGTGTACATTGCTGTCTGAACTTTTCTCTAATTACTGGCAAGTCAGACTCACGACCAGAGCACTAGGCTCTATCCGATTGTGAACATCCTCAGGCATCTTAGCCTGATGAGTATGAGACAGTAATAGAAGTTCACTGACATAGTTCTCCTTGAATGTTTTTCTATCTATTTATTTATTCAAATGGTTGAAAACACTTCTGAGTAGTCAAGGTGCACATGGTGGTACATACAAGGACGAAGACGAGTTGTTGTTTACTCACGAAAAAGTAAGTGACTCCCCGACGCAATCGCAGCCCTTGAATCATGCTCTTCCCTTCACAAGCATCATCATTGCAGGTCACAAAGACTGCCTGTGCTTGTCTGTCTGAATTGACCTTTCTCTCATACACCACCAAGATTGTATCAAATTCTGTGAATGCGTTGCATAGGCTGATTGTCACCGTCTTTGCCACAACAAACAACAAATATGGAGGTACCAAGTAATCAGCTGCATCCTAATGCATGATATCAATGCCTTGTTCTTGTAACAATTTATAGGTGTGAGAGGACATACATAAATGTTCACTTTTGTGGGCCTGATTAAATGTCCTCCGCTCATTCTTGAGGTATACGCCAACTTGAAGACACATTCTTTGCAATGTTTGCATATCATTCTTTGATGTGACAAAGATGAAAGACAAGAGAGTGAAAGGGGGGGTAGAGGAGGCAGTTATGGAGGAAGCGGTGGCAGGGGAGGCAGTTATGGGGGAAGAGGTGGCAGGGAAGGCAGTTATGGGGGAAGGGGTGAGTGGAGGACATGAGGGGGAGAAGGGAGTGGCGATGGGGAAAAGAAATCATGATCAGGGCGAGGGGAACCGGAGAAGTGGTGATAAGGGAGGGGACAGTTGAGAAATGTGGGCGAAGGGGGGAGGGAAGAACTATGAAACGAGGAAAAGCGGAGAGTCACAACAGAGAGAGAGGAGTTGCAATAGAGGGGGAGGGGAATCACGTCTGTCGGTGTCCACGTCTCCTCTCTCTCTCTCTCTCTCTCTCTCTCTCTCTCTCTCTCTCTCTCTCTCTCTCTCTCTCTCTCTCTCTCTCTCTCTCTCTCTCTCTCTCTCTCTCTCTCTCTCTCTCTCTCTCTCTCTCTCTCTCTCTGAGATACGTTCATTATACACAATGTTCACATTGGGGAGGAGAGCAATCCTCTGGGCACTCTAGCGAAAGCGATGCATACACATGACGGAAATGTGTGCATAACACGGGAAGAAATGATGGACATCATCAAGCAGCAAATACAACTGGACATCACAGACCAATAGACAAAGGCAAAAGCAAAACTAGATCTTTACCATGAGAAGAAATATATAATACAAGCAATCCAACGGTTCTCGAAGGAATGGCTGGGGAGCAAACAAGGGGGTTGGATAGCCGGAAGCCTGTGGGAGGGGGGCGACCAAGATGAAGAGGCGGAGCCCAAGCGAGTTACAGATTATCCATCAAGAATTGGACTTCAGTGGGGGCAACACTCCAGCTGCAGCCACCTTCGGACTTCCCAGACATCTTCCCACCACACTCTGTCATCGGTGGACCTGCAGTGGTACGGAGGTGGACAATAGTCGGCTTCGATCAAACACGGCCAAGCAAGAGGCAGCCGTCATACATCAGGTATACAGAATAGCCGCAGTACGGCAGCAGACAGGACAGCCAGGGACAAATCTGCCTGTTTGGCGGCCTGGAGGGGCTGAAGAGGCTGGTCATCCGTCCAACGTTCTGGTCTTTCTCTGTTTCTCCACTCTTACCCGAAGCCAGGTAATGGCCCCAGTGGTCGAACAGAATTGAAGTGTATACGGGACTGGGGACACGGTTTCCAGCAGGTGCTGCCCCCCACCAATAGATTGGGGCAATTTGGACTGGACCTGCTAGTGGGGGATGCTCATTTCACCCCTACTGACAGAATGGTACCGGTGTGCAAAAAAAAAAAAAAAAAAAAAAAAAAAAAAAAAAAAAAAAAAAAAAAAAGAAAAGAAAAAAAAAGAGAAAAAAAGAGAAAAAAAGAGAAAAAAAGAGAAAAAAAGAGAAAAAAAGAAAAAAAAACTTAAAAAAGGAAAAAAAAGAAAAAAGAAAAAGAGGGTTAATAGGCGGGTAGTTCATGCTGTCCACTCTGGGTCACCTTTCTTGTACGTGAGAGAGACCATTCCTGTGCTCAGGTACTCTCCCATTGTTTCTTCTGACCAGGCTTTTTTTTCCCTTTTTTAAAAGGGTGACGGTCTAGACTCTAGAGATATAACTGCAGGTGACCGGTCCAGATCATCATTATTGATCTTCACTGTAGATCATAGTTCATGATTGTTGTTTATTGATCTTCTGTTATGACTGGTATTCAGAGATTTTCCAGACTCCATGCTTCTTGAATACATTGTGTAATTCGAGGGTGTCAACCCTGAAGGCATCGTGATTGAACCATGGATGTTGTGAATGTCAGCTGAGATGATACTGACGAGAATTCAACCTTAGAATTATTTTATTGGGTGTGTCCCAACCGGCTACCTAGTAAGATCTGATCACGCCTGCTTTTTTCCCTATCACATACTTGGCGCCACGCCCGGTGATGACTAGGGGCCACTTTCCCAGACCTCTCTACCAGACCAGGCTGCATGCTCCCGCATAGCTATGGGTTACACCCCAGCGCCGACCAGCATCGTTCTGGCCTCAGTCTGCCTACCTCAGGCCACTGACAGTGACGGTGGTGCGTTTTGAACCCAACACCTGCTCAGGCATGGAACCTGCTGACCTAGCCAACGGGACAATTTCTTTCTCAAGGAAGTTGAAGTATTCACCTCTCAGAATTGACCAATAGGCTAGCAAAAACTTCTTAGAAGTTAGAACCATTGATTCCTGGATAGCTTTCTATAACAGTGTTTGTTTGGGGTCCCTATAGCACATTGCTCCCAGGAAAAGTCCAGATGGAGTGGGTTGTGCAAGGAAAATAAGCAACAGCGAGATGACAATTCCAGATTACACCATCACATTGAAAGCCAGATAGTCACACCGTGTCCAGAGAGCAGCATTGCACCAATAATACACCAATGGAGGTTCGTAGAACTGAAAACCAATGTCATGGAGAGCATACTCTCTCCTCATCAACACAAGGGTCCAGTCCCTTCACTCTCCAACTTAGCGCTCAGCGCCCAGCCTACTCCTAACACAGCTACTACAGCCTACTAATTGACAATGCAACTGTTGACATCAGTAGCAACCCGAAGTACTTGAAGATGTCGCCCATGCAGACCATCGCCAATACAAGGTAAGTGCCCTCATCATCATCCTTCACCTATCCCCTGACTTTCCTCCCACGTCTGTCCTCTCTTACACCCGAAGACCACCCCTGCGCCTCACTGTAGACCAAGCCCACCAGCTATGGTGGCTGGGCTATGGCGCTGCCCTCAGCAGCGCCCTTCTTCCGTGCACGACCGCACGTGCTGCACCTCGCCTCTCAGCGCCAGCCAGCAGCCGCGAGCTCTTGCTCCAGCAGCGCTGCCGCTGGCATGCGAGTGCCTGGATGAGGCTGCCAGGGGTGAGCTCTTTCCTTTATGGAAAGAGCTGGCCTGCTCGCACAGCCTGGTTGCCCTGGCCTGGGCCCAGAAGCTTCCGGAAGGCCCCAGGAAGCTGCCTGTGTACAGCAGCTACTGGGCTGCTGGGCCTCGTTCGGTTGGGCGCCCAACTGTCTCTGTATGAGGCTGCGAATCACGCCCAGGGCCTGCATTCTTTGGAAAAGCCCGGAAGGCCGTGGAAATGTCTTTGTTGCCCGGCCTGAGTTTCTCTCAACCAACTGGCGCGTCGCAACTGCCTGGACCCCAAATATGAAATTGACAGTCGAGGGCCTCTTGCGATATGTCAGGCCGCCTTCACTTAGGGCGGGCACCTCCGCCTTCACTTAGGGCGGGCAATGCTGTAAACAGGGCCCCATAGGCCTACCGAGGACCCTGATCCTCACAGTTGGAAAGATGCAACTCTTTGAAATCTTGAAGAGAAAGAAAACACAACTGCTGCCCTGGATCAGGACCGAGAAAGACAGCACAGAAGATGGAGTATCCAACCAGAAGAAGATAGAAAAGAAGAGAAGGCTTTTTTTCTTTTGCAAGGGACCTGACTGTCAACACTTGCCAGAGTGTAACACAATGCATGCCACTTCACCATTCACACCGATAATGACTC